TCTCAACATTGAATCTCCAGAAGGTGTAGCCGTGTTCGGCATGCAACCTAAAGCCCCGGACGTCCTTGTACTTGCCAGCCTTCTCACCGTCCATCTCCGCCCGCTTCCGCCGGGCAGCAAATGAGCCAGGGGGATCGGCCGAACCACCCGGGAGAGGTCCCTCAGGTGGACTTCTCGTCTTTTCGAAAAGCCCATCATCGGTCTCATCTCTTGATACATCACGTCCTGGCTCGAGATGGTCGACCGGCCTGACATAGAGAGTCTCGCCCTTTCGGCCCAGCTTGGGATGTCCCGCAATGGGGTCGACATACTCAGCTGCCAAAGGCTCATCGCCCGGAACCTGCTTTGGTGGCAGTGGCAGAAGCTCGATAGGCTGAACAAACAGTCTCAGCGTTGGGGCGATGTCATACGATGAGTCTTTGTCGGTGGTCACAATCATGATGGAGCCCCTCCAGATTTCACGATCAACGCTGGCACCGCGGGTGGAGCGGCTGGGCACACGCTCATGTCGGATTCCGCAATATCTCAGCAGAGGACCGCACTTCAGATAGAGAGGAGGCTTGAATCGCGTGGGCGCTGTAGAAGGAATACACGTCAGTACCAGGATCTCAACACGCTGACGATAACGAACGGAGAAAAGCAGGGGATCGATGTACTGGAATAGGACACTGCTGCTTTCCCTGAGAATGCATCACTACAAATCGAAAAACAGTCGAGGCTGTCTCGTGAATCATTCAGAGTCAAAGCAGCAGCAAGATCCGCAGGGCTCGGGCTGAAGGGTCGTAGCCCTTCCCAGCGTCTCCCTCGATTGCCCTTCTTTTTGAGGTCCTGGTTCTTGCTGGTCAAACGCCGCCCGACTTCACCTTCAGACAGCCGACTGAGATCACCACTTTGGACTGCGCTGATGTTGGGGTAAAAAGCTGACGAGGTAGGGGTCTGCGTACCGTTTGTATCATCATATTCACCCTCGAACGCCTCAGCCTTCTTTGGCCGGCTGGACAGGCTGCTTGCCCGAGTTCTTGACTTTGGCGACTCCCACCAGGTCCCGTTACCTGCGCCACCCTTCTCTGCGGTCGAAGGTGGTACGTCCTCGAGGTCCAGCAGAGCGCCTGTGAGAGCACCAACTGTGCCCTTTTGCCATTCATCCAAGTACGGTGTAGGTTGGTAGAGACCATCGCCAGGAACATATCTGTCGCGGCCGTGGTAGACAAGATTGGACACATGGTGCCCCCCCTCGTCATCACTTTCGCTGTCACTTCGGTTGTCTCTTCGTGCTGAACGGTGGGCAGATTGGGAGGCATTGTCTACAGCCGGTGCCGGTGCCACTGGAGCCGCAGGAGATACTTGATCCCGAGAGATAGCGCCCACTTGCTGTGCGCCATTCGCTGCAACTGTGTTGGGTGGTACTCGGCCGAGGATCTGATCGGCTTTCCTCTGGCTGGGCGTCTTTTGGAGTTTTGCGGGACGCGGGGGGTACATTTCATCTTCGTAAAACTCGCGGTCAGCGGCCATAGAGTCTCTTCGCCCGTGTGAGGACGATCGGACTGATCCCGTCCCCGTGCCATTGAGGCGCACAGGTTCTCCAGGAAATCTAGGGGTGACTGGCGTTGTGGGAACGACGTGAATTGTTTGTGTATTCGAATGGCTGCCTTCCAGAGGCTTGCGGGCCTCCTCTACCTCAGACTCGGACACAGATACTCTCCTGGGCCAAGTGTCATTTGGGTTCGCCCGGTTCTTTTTGAGCTTGTTGCTGCCGCTCTTGGGCGGAGAGGTCACTGGCAAGGTCTCTTTTGGCGCAACATCTCCAACATCATTTGGCAACTTTATATCACTCTTTGCGGCACGTTCACGGAAGCTGAGATTCCGTTGTGGGATTCCTGATGACTGACCTGGTGAGGCTGCTTGCGAGTCGGAAGCCTGTCCTCTCGGGGATCTGTCGGTTGGGGCGCTGAAAGGTTGTCCATCTTCTGGGGGGTTCTGAGAGAGGGGTCCGTTCTGTCCGGGGGTTGCGCGCTGGGTTGTCGGCCTTGAGGGGGTTCCTGGGGTTCCTGGGGTTCCTGGTGTATCTCCAGCCGTCAAAGAGGTCCGCCGGGGTCGGCGTGCCGATTGGGTGATGTTGTCGGCATCGTAGGTCGTTCCACCGGTTCTGTTGCGGGCAGCTCTCTCAGCAGCCTCGAGGCGGGCGCGTTTGTCTTCTTTGGAAATACTGTCGAGGGTCAGTTCCAGCCTTTGAAGGGGTGAACGGTCGTCTGCCAACATTCTGGATCGGTCCTGCGTCGAGGTTCTCCTGGTACTTCTCTGGAGGTTCTGCTCGGCAGCAGATGTCCTGCGAGGTTGGCCATTGGATCGGTGTGATCGAGGTAGCGCGGATTCGTCCAGCGTCTTCTGCGCTCTGTCCAACACCGGGTGATGCTCCGGACCGGCGGCCTTGTAGTAATCGTCAACATCCATATTCCTATTTCCACTGCTCGAAGGCGGGTAACGGTAGTTTGCGGCAGTACGGGGGACGTCAGGAGCAGCGGGAGGAGGGCCCGATGCTGCTGCTGATGATGCTGCTGCTAATGCTGCGGCGTAGTATTCTTCGTCCTGTTCCAGGTTGCGACTCCTTCTCTTTCGTCTGTTCTCTACGAGCTCGGGTGGATATTGGTTGGCGGCGTACGGTAGGGATGGCGGACGAGGAGCAAGTCCCTGACCCTGAAAGCTCGAGGCGGTTGGCGATGCGAAGGGGCTCAGGGTGGATTCGGTTGGCGCATCTGATTTTGTAGTCTGAACGGATGCGCGGTTCGGTCTGACCTGTGCCTGGGCGCCAACATCCAATGACTGGCGGTTATCATGAGTCTGGGGCTGGTCATCAGACAAGCGACGGGCTTTCACCTGGGGAGCCGGGAGCTCGCCCCAATAAGGGTTAGTGGTCGACGACATGTGGCCGTTGGGTTCCAGTCCCAATGTGAGGCTTCGATTCGAGTTTGGCGATTGTTGGCCGTCGGCGTTGCAATCGATGCCCTGGTGGGGTGGGTAGGCTGACCGCTCCAAGACGCCTCGTTTCGTTCACGAGAGCTGCAAGGTCCCAGAATAGCCAATGTTGTGCAGACACATGCGTCCTCGGGCTCTGGGGTTTCGCGACCACCTCACTTGGGGGGCATTTGCGAGTTATTGTATGTACCGAGAGCTGTCCTGGGATGGGCCTGGGGAAAGCTTGGGATGCTTGGGTGGGAAGACCTCAAGCTTGGCAAGTTGGGCTGGGGACTCGGAGAGGCTGTCCAGGGTTGTTCCTGCCGCCAGAGCGTCGTTTGCAGGGGTATCGGGATGCTGTCAGGCTGCTGGGCCAGTGAGAAGCCGTTCGTTGCCATCCACTGGGCCACATCACAGCTCCAAAAGACCCGCCGACAGGGGTTCTCAAAAATCGAAAGGCGGGAGAGACCGCAACCTTGGACGTCGCTGGCTTGGCAGTTTGATATTATCGAGAACATGGTGTCGTTCAAAATGTGGTGGTTGGTGTTTGATCCGTGATCCCGTCTCCACTGGCGATCGAGTGTTGGCAACATGTCAGGCACAGGAACAAACCTTCAGATGGAAGCTTTGACGGCTTCGATGACCGGTTCGGATGACACCATGTCTCAGGGCGGGCAGCCATTGTCTGCTCTGCTTGGTGATGCTGCTTCGGCATCTGGCAGAGCATCCACTGATGGATAGGGCTATTTGGTCTTACCATCACTCGGTTTCTACAACCTGTGTTGCCGGCCAATGACATGGCCGGGCTTCTCGGTGAGCTCGATCCAAAGTGCCAAAGGCAACTGGGGCTGTGGAGAGACAACACCAACCTCTCCTATTCACGACAGCGCGGCTCCGGAGCGTCACCACCCCATCACCTCACCACACTTACATATATATACCGAGTAGGTACCCGCATCAGTCTGCGTGTGCCCATCCACATGCGTTCGTCCCACTCGAACGTGTTTGTCTTCGATATCCACCTCATGGAAACGGGAGGCTGAACGGTTATCCCCACCTGTGTGCCCACACAGTGAGCTCATGATAAACTATGTGTACTTTGTTGCTGGTTTACGCCTATTTATTTTGTTTCTTATGAGTACCTTTCATGGTCTGAAGAGGTTGCCAGTGCTAGGTATACAAGTCCTCAGCCCGCCTCCGAGACACTCGAGGTTTAAAGAGGAAGGCTGAGGGACAAAGGATAAAGACCGAATTGAACTGCCGATTGCGCTGCTGATGAAGAAATTTGTCCACAGGGGCAAAAGACAAAGAAGACAGTCAATTAAAGAGCTGATAGTTTGTAGAGATTTCTCCCAACACCATGCCTCGTGAGAATTGCATTCAGTCAAGTTAAACAGCTTTCTTCACCTTCAAGATCTCAACAATATCAAAGGTTGACACCTTGACGGCTGGACGTGCTGCCGTCTTATTGGTCCGTCTTACACCAGTTGACCCACAGTCCCTTAAAACAGCCAGTTGCCAAGCCAGAGGTGAAGGGGAAGTGGCACGTACCACAAACTGCGACGTTGGCATTACGAAGACTGCCTGTGTTCGCCTGGACGACTGGTTGATCGGGTGAGACGAAACAATCCTCAAGGCCACCTCTCCACTACGACAGAGGAGACGCCCGAACGAACCTCCAAAAGCCAGCCCCAGATCAAGAAGCAAAACCCGGGGTGGAGAGGAAACGGCCTGTCCGCCACCGAAGGTTGTGTTTCCACTCCTGAAACGCAGTTGCTGGTACCACACACAACATCCATTGCCACCACCACCACAACTGGCCAGCGACTCGAACGGCTTCGCACTCCCTTCGTTTCGAAGTCTCGTTCCAAGCGCGCAACACTCAACAACAACGAACCATTGCTCCAGGAGTCCAGTTCTTGCGCGACCATTCGACATCGAGTTGCGTGTCCACATGTCAGTCGGCGTTTTCCGTTAATCTCGACATCTGCACCCTTCCGGGGATTCAACGAGGTGCCCCTGAGCCCTCGACCTTCTAGAACGAGACGATGAAGATTCCATCGGCCACGGCTCTGCTGGTCCTTGCTGCCTATGCATCCGCATCTCAAGTCCTCCCCAGGAATTACGACGCAAACGACTATTACGTCCTTCACCTCGACGCCCAGACATCCCCTATCCAGGTAGCAAGGAGCTTGGGGCTGTCGCACGAAGGTCCTCTTGGAAACCTCAAGGACCACCACATCTTTGTCGCAAGAAAGGCAGAGCACGATATTGTCAAAAGGGAGCTGACGGAAAGAAGACGGAGGAAGCGGTCGATCGGTGGTTATGATGTCTTGGACGGTGTCCTCTTTTCCGAGAAACAAAAGTTGCGAAAACCATGGGAGAAGCGCATCATTCCTGCACGACGACCAGAAGCCATCCCCAAGCCGAAACCGCAGGTCGGGGTAGACTCGGCGCTCAAGGCGCAGGCAGAGGTTGCACAGGCACTCCAGATCCAGGACCCTATCTTCAACGAGCAATGGCATCTATTCAATACGGTCGAGGTCGGACACGATGTGAACGTAACAGGTCTCTGGCTGGAGGGCATTACTGGAAAGAATGCCACAGTGGCCATTGTCGATGATGGGTTGGACATGTACAGCGATGATCTGAAGGACAATTACTATGCTGCCGGATCTTACGACTTCAACGATAAGACGGAGGAGCCGAAACCTCGTCTATCAGACGACAGGCATGGAACTCGTTGCGCCGGCGAGGTCGCAGCCGGTAGGAATACCGTGTGCGGTGTCGGCGTTGCCTATGATGCCAGGATATCCGGCCAGCGCATTCTTTCTAAGCTGATCTCGGACGCCGATGAGGCCGTTGCTATGAATTACGACTTTGACCACAACCAAATCTACTCTTGCTCATGGGGTCCCCCAGATGACGGCAAGAGCATGGATGCTCCTGGTATTCTGATCAAGCGTGCCATGCTCAACGCTGTTCAGAACGGGAGACAAGGTCTGGGGTCAATCTATGTGTTCGCGAGCGGTAACGGTGCCATGGCGGAGGACAACTGCAACTTTGACGGATACACAAACAGCATTTACAGCATCACGGTTGGCGCCATCGACCGAAAGGGGCTGCACCCCTACTACTCTGAGAAGTGCTCGGCTGGTCTCGTCGTCACTTACTCCAGTGGCAGCGGTGATGCGATCCACACCACCGATGTTGGCCAGAATGCATGCTCCAACACACATGGAGGGACGTCGGCGGCTGCACCGCTCGCGGCTGGTATCTTTGCTCTTGTGCTTTCGGTGCGCCCGGATCTTACCTGGCGTGATATGCAATACCTTGCCATGGACACGGCCATTCCTCTCAATGAAAACGACGGAGATTGGCAGCCCACCACCATTGGCAAGCGCTTCAGTCACACTTACGGCTATGGCAAGCTTGACAGCTACGCCATTGTCCATGCTGCTAAGAAGTGGAAGAACGTGAAGCCCCAGGCTTGGTTCTATTCTCCTTGGATTCACGTCAACCAGCCCATTCCCCAGGGTGACAAGGGCATTGCTGTTCCCTTTGAGGTTACCGAGGACATGCTCAAGGAGGCCAACCTTGAGCGTCTCGAGCATGTCACTGTCACTATGAACCTCAAGCACGCCCGCCGCGGCGATGTGAGCGTCGACCTGATCAGCCCCAACAAGGTTGTCAGCCATCTCTCCACCACACGCAAGTTTGATGATTCCACCGAGGGCTACGACGACTGGACTTTTATGAGTGTTGCTCACTGGTACGTCTCCCCCTTTTTGTTTCCTAATCACTCTTGGCACTAACCAACCAAAACAGGGGTGAATCTGGTGTCGGCACCTGGACCATCATAGTCAAGGACACCAACGTAAACGACTTCACAGGCAGCTTCACGGACTGGCACCTCAAGCTCTGGGGCGAGTCGCGCGATGCTTCCAAGGCCAAGGTTCTCCCCATGCCCACAGAGGAAGACGACAACGACCACGCCAACCTCGCCACCACCACCGTCGGCGCCGTCACCACCACTGTCGCCCCTCCCGTCGGCACCGGAAACCCAGACGGCAACCCCTCCGTTCAACCTACCGAAGTTCCCAGCCGCCCGATCAAACCCCCCCAGCCGTCAGAGTCTACCGGCACGGATTCGCAAGAGGCCGAGCCAGAAAACACCCAGGCCAGCAACTGGTTGCCCTCATTCCTTCCCTCGTTTGGCATGTCCAAGGCTACTCAAGTCTGGATTTATGGATCCCTCGTCCTGATTGTACTTTTCTGCTCCGGGCTCGGAATTTATTTCTATCTCGCCCGCCGCAAGAGGTTGAGAAACAACCCGAGAAACGAGTACGAATTCGAGCTTCTCGACGAGGAAGAAGCGGAAGGTCTGGCTGGCAACAACAGCGAAAAGGGGGTCGCTGCGGCGGGGGCAGGGGGCAGAAAAGGGAGGACGAGAGGTGGGGAGCTGTATGATGCTTTTGCTGGGGGGAGCGACGATGAGGATGAGTTTGGTGGTGGTGCGGGGGGTGATGAAAGGGGTGTTGGGTATAGAGACCAGCCTTCTTCGGGTGGGAGTTCGTCTGGGCAGAGGAGCTCGAGGTCGGAGTCGGGGGAGAGGTTTGATGAGAAGGGTGGGATGAGGAGACATAGTGATGAGGAGGAGGAGGATGAGCAGCATGTTATTGGGAGTGAGGAGAGTGGGTCGGAGGGGGAGGAGAGTGAGGAGGAGAGGCCTTTGAGGAGGTAGACAGTAGCTTCGGGGGAAGCAAGGGGAAGAAGAAGTGCAATGGGATGGAAGGGGGAGTTTGTTTGGCTTTTTTGAAAAACCTGTTCATGGAATTAGCATTGTTAGAGCAGAATCATCACTTGGTTTTGTTTTTGTGTATGTCCTGGCTGTTTGTAGGCTCAGTGTTTTTCTTGTCTGTAGTTGGCGGCGAATTGTGTCTCTTTGAGGAAAACGGTACAGAATAGAGGGCTGCTTTCTTGTTGATTGGGACCTGAGGTTGATTGTTTGGGTATGTCACGAAGTGGATGATGATGTTCTGGTAGAAATCATTAGGGCATTCTCGTCACCTATTCACCACCCAAGACAGCCTGTTTACAAAAACACCATCTCAATTGCCTTATAAATATCGCTGTATTGGATAAACCCCCAAGACACAGGCCGCAAACCAACTCAGTCGGCCTTCTAAGCCGCAGTTGCACCGCACCCTCAGCCTCCATCTCCTGCACATACTTCTCCCACGTCTCGATGGTACTCTGGTAAAAGTCAATATGACTGTCCACAAACCCCCCAAACTGCTTCTTGAGCTCAATCTTCTTAATATACTCAAAGCTCTCCACCTCCCTCCCGACCTGCTCCCCAAAGTTCTCCGACTCGGTCCTGGCGTTTTCCACCGCCCTGGTCAGTTCGTCGATCCGGAGCTCCAACTTACGGAGCCGGTCTCTTCGAGCCTGTTCGTGATCCACGCCCCTGACGTCCTCGATTTTGCTCCGGATGAAGCCGCCCGCGCCGCCGAGAGGACCGACATAGGAGTGCCCCGACGTCAGGGAATCGCGCTCCGATGTGGCCTTGTTCAAGTATTCGATTAGCTGTTCGTAGTCGAGCTGTTTTTGCTCCCGAGCCTTGATCAGACCCTTCAAGGCGCCCGAATAGGCCACCATGTCACGCAAGGAGCCGAGATAGTCTTGATCGGTACTGTCTTTGAGCTTTTTGAGCCCCGTGGCGGTATCCTCCACCGAGGCCGCAAAGGCGTGAACAGCTGATTCAACCCCTGGCTCGAGAGTGATGAGCTTTTGGAATTGCTCAGCCAAATCCTTGTGATCCGTCTCGAGGTCGGCTTCCCTCCGGACAACGCGCGCGACAACCTTTTCCACGTGGGTCAAATCTTCGTCGAGCTTGTCGGCCTTTTCTTTGGTATCAACGAAACGACGATCAGGCTTTTGGGTTTTGGTGAAGGCGTTCATGAACGAATCTGTAAAGGTATTGAGGAAGCCGTCGCCTCCCGCCTGGGGTCCTGGACTCCCAGCCTCAAGAGGAGGGGCTAGGGATCCCCGTGCTTGACGGGCATGCATGGTTGCGTTCCAGTCATGGCTTTCGAGGAAAGTGTGGAAAATAGGGGCTCGGCGGAGGTCGGGATGCAGTGCTAATCGGGAAAGGAAGCGCTGGAACGAGTATGCTCGTCGAGCAGTAAAGTCGGGGCCAAACCTGTCTCCCCGCACATATTCCATGCGCTGCTTGTCGGGCAGTGGCGGGATGGCGGATGCCTGGTATTCTTGACATAGAACTCTGTAGAGAAACACGAAATCGGTGAAACGACGGCGAACGGTGGTCACGGGTCGTTGGAAGGTAGAGAATGTGGTCTATAGAGTAGCACCTTGGTCAGTCGGAGGCCCTGGATCGATGGTTGTCCCTAAACATACATTGGTAGTGATAAGATAGGACACGTAAGCATCCTTGGTGCCGTCGTTCTCCTTGTGAGGGTCAGAGACGGTGCACTCTAGGACTTCATCGCCATGGTGACTGTGATCGCGACCCCCCCTCCCATCACTGCTTGACCTCCCGGTATCTGGAATGGTCTTGGAGAACTCAGGACTGGTCATATTGTCCGGTGTAGAAGAACTCGGACCGGCGTGGTCGTTTTGTTCACTGTGCCACGAGATGTTGGAAAAGTTGTCTTGGTCAATGACCGCCATGATGGTGGATGGAGGGGGCGCAGTGAGAGTTGCGCCGGCTCTAATTCGTGCAGATGTCGGGTGTGTGGACTGGTAAAACCTGTGGTCGATGACTGAACTGGGCTTAAAAAACAGATGGAGAGTGCAAAAACCTCGAATAGAAGTGTTGTTGAGCCGAGAGCTTGTTCGTGGTGGTTGTTACAAGACGTTAGGTTTCGCAGCCACTGGGCGGATTGACGTATGATGGCGGGGGTTGCTGTTGCTTGCGGCAGGGCTGTGGTAGGCGTTCGCGAGCCTGTGGTGGGAGCTTCGTGAGCATGCGGTGCTGTTAAGGTGTTGGGTACCTCTGCCGGCGCTGTTGGCAGTTTGGAGACTGCTGGGAGTATCGCTGGTGTTGGCAGAGAGGATCCCTTGCCCTGAGCGGTAAACGCCAAGAGAAAGCTATGACGACGCTTCAGTGGCTGCCGGCGCCAGGCACTCCATGTTGCCCTCCGGCAGCGCAACTGCCAGCGACATAGGCGGTGCTGGCCAGGAAAGACCTTGAGCATGCCATTGTAAATATTGACAAGGAATCTCATCTTGAAAGCACTTCCTGCCTTGCAATTAAGCTTTATTGCCTGGGGTGCTCTTCTGCAGCCACCTGCTCTTCCTTGTTGCTTCCTCAGCGCAACCCACCAGAATAAGACGGCGCAGTGGAGATCCCGACAGAACTGGAGAGGTAGGATTCGCATTTAGCGCCATCCATTTTCCCAGTCGCGCTTTTGGAGAACCCAAAGTCTTGATCACGCGCCAAACCGCCGCATTTAGCCTTCGTCTCGCAACTGATTATCGCGGCTATCAGGATGACTGAAATGGATATTGATACTGGCGATGACCTCCTCACAAAGGTCGCGCTGGATGCGTCCATGGTCTAGTGAGTATTCGTACAAGTCGGTCGCTGCATCTCGTCGGTCGCTAATACCTGCAAATCGCAGCTCTGCCTGGCCTGCTCTGCTGCCAGAACTGGTTGCGCGCATCGAGAAGGTGGGCTCATACGGCCATGGATTGTTCTCTAGACCATGTTGGTAGGCCGACTGACCTCCGTTTAGATTGCCATCACCGAATTTCCTATCCCCAGACTGCCTCCTTCCAGAGCGCCTGTGCGACCACCGTCCCCCCGTCTGATTCCCCCGATACCCTCGTCCGAGCCGACCGAACTAGCCGTCGACTCGGTGCCTTCTTCGCAAGAAACCAACAAGGAGAACTCCTCCCCCACAGCCGCGAGGCCATCTGCCCCGGCGCCTCCGTCCACAGCGTCCCCGCCGGCGCCCGAAGCCCGAGCTGAGCCGCCAGCAACGCCCGACACGCTTCCCAAACCAGTCCAGGATATGCTTGATGAGATCACTTCGGTGTTGAAAGAGAACTTCACCGAAAACCCACCTCATACGATTCAGCGCCTATCTGAGCTTGTGCTTCGCCCACGACAGCACTACAAGAGTGTAATAGCATGGCTCCACGCGCTTGATCGTGTGGTTCATGTCACCAGCGGCGCAAATATTTACCCCTTACCTGCGGCGATACCAGACATGAGCGGCATGGGTATGTCCGTTAACGGGAGCGCTGGAGCAACCTCGGGCGTAGCAAGTACGGTTGGCACGGACGAAGCGTTGGGAGGCGCACTGTTAACACCTATTCCGTGGTTAACCAGCAGAGTGAACGGTGGGCCTGGCAGCGACACCGGGAGCGAAACTGGTGGCTCGTCTCCTCTGTCCGCTAGTGGTATCACAGGAGGACCAGGGGCTGATCCCTCTCAACACCTGCAGCTTCAACAGCGCCAGTTACAACAGCGACAAGCACACCAACTCGATGGCAGGGTGCGCACAGAGAGTACCGAGACGATCGAAGGGCCCAATGGAATGGGAAGAATCGAGACGGTGTCCATTTCAGTCAATGGTATTCCCTCTACAGGCGCCGGTGGTGTGGGTGCAGTTCTCGCCCAGAGGGGCGTCACACAGGGCGAGCTCTTGAGGCAGGAGCAGCGCGCCGGCGTGGTCCCCATCAGCCAATTAGCAAGACAGCAGCAAGCACAACAGCAAGCGCAGGCTCAAGCACAGGCTCAGGCGCAAGCCCAAGCCAACGGCTCGCCTGACGAGGATTCAGCCATGAGCTCAGACCCTGAGGATGAAGAAGAGATTCCCCACGCCAGGGGTCCGGAGGAGATAGGGGCGGAGGATACTGGCCCCTTACCAGCTGGCACTGGGCAATTTACTGTGGGGACAGCGGCCCTCGCTATCGGAGAATCCAGAGGCATCAACGTCGAGGCTGCCGTGGGACGGCCACCCGACCAAACAGGCCTGCCGGGATCGAAGGCTAGTGATAGTAACAAGGAGGAAGCTGTTGTTCCCCAGAGCCCAAAGAGAGAAGCAACCGATGAGTTGGAAGGCGGTGGAGCTGTTAAGAAAGTCAAGGAGGACAAGGAGGAGGGGGACAAGGAGGAGGGGGACAAGGAGGAGGGGGACAAGAAAGACGAAGAGGAAGTCAAGAAGGATGCGGAGGGAGACTTGGTTCTACCAGACTCTGCCCCTCCGGCTTCTGAGACTGAAGATGTTGGGGATGAAAAGAAGAATACGGCTGGGAGGCAAGTGGGCGATAGTGCGGAGAGTTCGAGTTCCCCCAAGACGGAAAAAGGGGACGAGGAGAAGAATACCCAGGATAGTGGAGGTGATATCAGCAGTGCCTAGAACTTGAAGCTATCAGGGGGCGGGGCTCGTCTTGATGATGGTCGTCGAAAGTATGAATCAGCGAGTACCAATATGGGCATCTTTTCATCACAGTCTAATCGAATAGTCTTTTAATAGACAGAAGCATGGATATTGTTTTTTTTTGGGAGGCGGATTGGGACCAAAAACAGCGGGGCGTATTGCTGTCTTTTATGTAGGATAGTGCGGATGAATGCCAGATTTGATCGTTGTTCTTCTGGACTTGTGTTTTAATCAGCAGACGGCCATATATGAACAATGTAGTTGGTATGTTGGACAATCAACGGCAGCCACAATTCTGTGCTCCTGAGCACATATCTCAGGGGGATTAGGGGGAACAGTGTGCAACGGACGGTGCAAAAAGGGCGTGCGCACGGTAAGCAGGTACTACGGAGGTTGGGGCGATTTAAACTCTCCAACCCGTCGGGGTGTCGCCCCACTCCATCCCCCCGGAGCGCGACAGCTCATTTTCTACACAAACTCGCAGCTTCGGACAACCAGACGGGCAAAAGAGCTCGTTCTTTCGTTCGACGCCCAAGGTCTTGGAAATACAAACCAGGAGATGAATCAGAGAGATGGGGAGGCCGTCAAAATGGGACTTCGAACAACACAAGGACACGCTGAAGCGGCTGTGGGTGGATCAGAAGATGAAGTTGCCCCAGGTGAGGGACTACATGAAACTGCATCATCAGTTTGCACCTGTGTATGTTTACTAGACCTTTTCCTTCTTATAGCCCTTGTACCCCCGTGGCTTTTTGCTGTATGGTGAATCCACATCATTGTGGATTGATTGGGCGACAACTCGAGACTGGATGCGCATCTGCCCACCATCTTGTCCTGTTTCTTTTCTCCTTTTTGTCCCGGTTGCTACTCCGTACTGCAGCTTGGCCGTTCTACGGAGTGTCAACCCTCTCGTTAATCACAAATAATAACTTGACACCACACCTTCATCTCACTCACTCACTCACTCCCTACTCGCAAAACTGGCCATCATGTTTTCTAACCCTCTACCAGTCCCGCTGCTTACTTTAAGAAATTCCACGAGTGGGGTTTTGAAAAAAAGTTCAATCCGATTCTAAAAGACGAGAAGCTGCAAGCCCGGGTCAGAGAGCTGTGGGCACAGAACTATGGCGGCGACGACATTCTTCGCATCACCAGGGAGGAGGGGTTTGAGACTGACAAGGCTGTCATCACGAGGATTAGGAGAAGGTTTGGCATGGTTTTGAAGATGGCTGGTGGGTATGGAAACCCGAAGCGGACATTGGCGAGGAAGCAGAGGGAGATGATGAAGCAGAAGGCAGGTCAGAAGGAGGGTCAGAGTCAGAGAATAGTAGTGTGGAGAGGGAAGAGGATGATGATGGTGGCGAGAGCAACTGCAGTGGTGATGACGAGTCTGGTGACAGTGATGAAGATGAGGATGAGGAGGGTGAGGAGGACGGGCCTGGTGAGGTTGAACAGCAACTGCAGCGAGTTCAAGAGCACACCAACAGCCTGAATAGCGCTCCGGCGAGTGGCTATGGCGAATCTTCTCAGACCAACACTACAGCTGGGGCCTATCATGACCACTGGAATACAGTCTCGAACCAGCCCTACTGCGGTGGAATGCGTCAGTGGGATAACAACTACCCGTTGGGATATGCTCCTCCTGTACCAACTACTCCTACATTATCGACTGCTGCTGGCTGGGAGAACCAGCAGCAAGGGTCCTCGTTTCCGTCCCAGCCTGAGCAATCACAACAACAGCAAGACCAGAGTCAACAACAAGAGCCTCGGCAAACTGGTTCTCAACCGCCTGACGAAGCAGAGCTTGCTGCCAGGAGGGAGCAAAGAAAACGACAAATCGAAGCGGAAGCGGAAGAGCTGTGGCGGACGAAGAAACGCAGGCGCCACACAAAACAATATGGCTTTCTCCCCCCTGATCCTGCAGGCCCCCCTCGCTATCCGTCCGAGACAACGCTTACAGAAGCCAAAGAGATCCTCCAGCTCGACAAGGCGGCATACCTGGGTATAAGAGAGAAGTTTTACAATATTTGCATGAGCCATGGAGTTATCAAGAAAACGCTCATGGGTCCCGAGCGCTGGAAGCAGTTCAAAGACCGGCTGATTAGGGAGAGCTTGCATCTGCGCGCGGCCATGTGGGACCAGGAGAACATTGAGCAGAAGAAGTTGGCTGTTGAAATTATCTGCAACGACATCACCAAGCGCGTCCGGATCACACAGACCAAGGTTTCTGTTGCCGAGGCCAAGAGGCTTCTCGGGCTAGACCCCGATGCGGGGAGAGAGATTCGTGCCCAGCTGTACAACATTTTGGCGGTGGAGCGGTTCGGTCCTGTTCTTGAGGAAGGCATCGAAAGGTTTCGGGAGCTCAGGCAGAGGTGGATCGACGCGAATGAGGTGTTGAAGGAGGCATGGACTAATCAGGAGGACCCTGAACATGCCCGCAAGGTCAAGGCGGTCATTGCGCTTGGTCGTGATGCGGAACGGAGATATCACGCTGATGTTCACAAACGGGGTATCGATCCTCTGCGGCAGAGGAGTCCCACCCCTGAACCGACAAAGAAGCCGAAGCCTCCCAAGCCTCCCAAGCCTCCCAAGGAGCCCAAGGAGCCCAAGGTCCCGAAGAAAAGGGGTAGACCTAAGAAGGTTGTTCCTAGCGTTGAGGATCCTGAGAATGAGGCAGCTTCTTCGAATGCGGATGCGCCTTTGCAGCCAGGTATGAATCAGGGTCAGGATTGGCCTATTGGGGGAGCTGTTCTTTCTGAGACTCCTGCATCAACATCGGCTGCTGCATCTGTTGTTGCTCATTCTGTACCAGGAGCTCCGGCTGCAGCTCCTGCTCCCCGGCCACGGGGGTCACGAAAGAATGCTGTGCCCGCGCCAGCACCCGTGTCGGCACAAGCACCAGAAGACCCGAATATGGTACCCGGTCTCAGGCTTCCTGCGAAGAATCGCCGAGGCCGCCCTTCGAAGCAATCTGAGGTACAGACGCATACACAAGTACATTTTGCTCCGCGCGCGGATGCAGAGCCTTCACCAAAGGATAACGACCAGGCATTGATGGATTCTCAGCTGGGTTATGGTGATGGCTATGTTCCCGACGACACACCGGAACCATATACAGATGATGAAGTGCCAGAGGTGCGGGCGCCTGCGCCGCCGCCGCAGCAGCAACCCGAACAGATCGAGCCCGGCTTTGTTGGTCCCTTGACGCTCAAGCAAACGCAAGACCAGTGGTTGAGAGAACAAGCGTCGCGTCGACAGCAGGAACAAGCTGCTGCCCATGCGGTGGCGGCGGCCCCTAGTCAACAACAGGCACAGAACCAGGCGAGACAGAACCCACAGTCACAGCTTCAGCAGCAACTCGGGCAGCCCCAAATCCAGCAGTACCAGCAACCCCCGTTCCAACCAGCCACGCCCGGACAATCTCAGCAAGGTTCACTTGTGGCGAGTCTCCGGCAGATGTATCACCAACCTCATCAGCAGCAACAAGCTCAGATGGCTGCTCAACGGCCACGAGCTCAAACGGCCACACCAGTTCAACAACAGCCCCGGATAGCAACACCCATCCAGCAACCCCAGCCACAAATGACAGCACCACCACCAGCGCCACCCCTAACCAAGGGCACCTTCCCGGTTTACTTCCGACTGCACAGCGCAATCAGGGGATTGTTCCCGGGGATGAGGCCGCAGTGGATTCATCTACTGTCATCACGCAAGTACAGCGACCTGAAGGCGGCGGCCGTGGCCAACACTCCGGGAGCGATGTGCTACAAGATTGAGGGGATTGTCAAGGACGGGAGTGGGGGGGAGCTGCCGTTACCGGTGACGGATGACACGGAGTTGGAGACGTATCTGGAGCATGTCGAGGGCAATGGAGGGGGGGCGCCGATGTTTAATGTTCATTTGTTTCCGGGGGGGATTTGATTTGGGGCTGGGGGGGTGTGATGTTGTCAGTTGGGAAAGGGGATTCAAGTTTTTTTTTTTTTTCGGGGGGGGGAAGGGGTTGCAACGTTGTGGTATTGATGAGTTGGGAAGGGGGTGTAATGTAATTGTGTAGAGGGCTGTGGAACTGAGTAGTCATTGAACTATATTAACATAAACTGAACCATTTCCATGAGTGCCTCCTGTTTACGAAATGCGTACGGGGCTGTTAAGGTGAGTCAACAGAAGTAGGGTTAGGGTTGGGGTTAGGACCGCAGGAACCTTGACGACCCTGTTCTGACGACTGTCCACTACCCAACCAGCCCCACACCCATTTCTCGCGACCGACTGCCAACTCCCCGCGATTATTCCCAATTATCCCAACCGGCGACTTTGTTTTGTTTTTACGACCCGACGATATCCCACCACCGCCCGAGAAGAACAAACAAACATCTCGGCTTCGTACGCAGCAACCAAACAATCTTATTATTTCCCAAGACACGAAATAAAGCAATTAAAATGTCCACGGCCGACAACAACGACACAATGGAGCTGGACGAGCCCCAGCAAGAACAACCCGCCACAACAACAACAACAACAACCACCACCTCCTCAACCTACGCCAACACCTCAGCCATGCAAACGCACACCCGCGCCACGGCCGTCCGCTCGATCGAAGGCTGGATCATCATGGTGACCAACGTGCACGAGGAGGCCGACGAGGAGGCCATCCACGACATGTTTGGGGAGTACGGCGAGATTAGGAACCTGCATCTCAACCTGGACAGACGGACGGGTTATGTCAAGGTATCTTCTCCCCCCCCCCCCCCCCCTTGCTCAAAAGGTTGGCTGACAGAAACAGGGCTACGCCTTGATCGAGTACTCCACCATTGAGGAAGCAAGAGCCGCCATTGACGGGGCGCACAACACGCCCCTCTTGGACCAGAACGTCCAAGTTGACTTTGCGTTTGTGAGGCCGCCTCCTGGGAAGGGGAACAACCAGCAGGGCCATAATGGGGAGATTAGAGGAGGTGGGAGATCTGCTGGAGGAGGTGGTGGTAGGGGGAGGGATAATAGGGGGCAGAGGAGTGGGAGGTCGAGGTCGAGGAGTCCGGGGGTGAGGGATAATAACAACAGGAGGAGGGATGACGATGAGGAGGACTTGTAGAAGGGAATTCCCAAGCAGTTTTACAGGACAAGAAGGGAAGATGGAGACAAGCTGTAAGCTCTGCTCTATAGAAAGCCGATGTGTTTACTGCCTGTCTTGGGTCGAGAGATATAGACCAAGAGACGGAGGGCAAAAACACAGTCGGCATCCTGAGGCGGTTACGCCATGGTAGGTCTGTCTGATGCATGTTCAAGAGCCAATGCTGATCAAGATTATAGAAACCAGATTGCAAAAGAGTAATATTAGCAGTAGAGGCTCAGATATACACTTCACTGCTGGCCTGCGTTTACCCGAGTGACCTGCAGGGCAACATTAACTGGATTGCTGCTGAGTCCTTCAAAAACCCCAAGGCGTCACCGCATCCTCTTGCCTGCCGTAAATTCGGCATTCTAACCCCCCAATACAAGTCGCGCTTCGTACCCTCTAACAATTTCGAGCATCACCCCATCCAGTCATATAATGCGGGCTGCCTCACAATGTACCTCGGGCTAGCGTTGATCTCCCATATTATCCCCTCCTTTTCCCGCAATCACCTGTCCCTGTTCAGCTAAAGACACACAATACCGTGATCAACTCCGAGACCCTCGATTTGCTAATTAATACCTCATCAACATATACATGCTGTCTACCCTCTCTTATTCGGAGATCCTCGTGATGTTTTCCACCCGAATAACACTGTTCTGCCTCGCGTTGCGCTCCACCCGGTAAAACGTGTCGCAAAAGTCCTGGCACCGCATGTGCTTCAAAAACTCCTCGTCGTGGGTGATCACAATCAGCTGCAGGTTCCCCTGCGACTGCCTCGCCTTGATGATCCTGTGCAGGCTGCTCGCCAGGCTGCGGATGTTGTCGCTGTCGAGGTTGGTCGTCGGCTCGTCCAGCGCGATCAGGCCGCAGTTGACGCCAAACGACTCGGCCAGCGCCAGCCGGATGATGATGCTCGCCAGCACCTTTTGGCCTGCCGAGCACCGCCCGCGCATGTCCATCTCCGTGTCGCCCTTGACCATCGAAACCCGATAGTTGTAGTTGCGCTTGCCGCCGCCTCCCGAACCGGCACCCGACTCTACGTCGGACCGGATCTGGATCGTGTCAATGTCTGTGCCTTGGTACGTCTCCCTCCAGAGCTCGCCGATGATGCGGTTGATCTCCTCCATTTTGAGAGAGTGGAATTGCATAATGGCATGGTCGAGAGCCATGGTGCCCCGGCCAAGGTCGTCAATAGCTGCCTTGGTCGTCTCAACCTTGATGTGCGATTCCTTGTACTTGGCCTTGGCGCCCTTGAGGTCGAGATCATATTCTTCTTGCAGCCGGCTCAGCTGGTCGTCCTTCGACGCCACGCTGCCCATCAACCGTTCCCGCTCCGCCGTCAACAGGCCTCGTTGATCTTCGAGGATGCGCGCCTCGAGGCTGAGACGCTGGTAGTCTTCCTCGGCTTTGCGGGATTTGAGCTCCTCAATCTCCTGTTGAAGAGCGACACGCTCGCGGAGGTTCTTGCGGTAGGTGAGATTGTCGGAGATGTTTCTCTTCTTGGCGTCGCTGTTGTCAATCTCCTTATTCAGCTTGTTGATCTGCACGGTCAAATCCTTCATCTCAGCCTCAATGCTGGCAATAGTTGCCTCCAGCGTGGTAATGGCGCGCTGGTTGGAAGCTAGATTCGAGGGGCCGCCACGCTCGAGATACTCTTGGATTTCACCGTTAATCATCCTGAGCTCACTGACAGTGCCCCCGATAGCATCGCGCTTCTCTGTGACGTTTTGCTCCTTGGCCCGACCGTGTTGCCGCACTTCGTCAAGGGCAGAGCGTGCGGTGGCCATCTCGGGCTCGAGGGCTTCCAGATCATTGTCAGCAGTCTGAACCGACTCGCGGAGCTGTGCTTGTTCCTCCTTGAACCGACGAATTTGGTCTTGAAGACTCTTCTTCCGCTCAAGTTGCTGGGCCGCAGTGGCTATCTTGTGTCTCAACTCAAGCCTCTCCACCTCGAGCTGCGAAGCCAAATCCTTGAGTCGCTGTCTCTCGACAGTGAGCTTGTTGAGTCTGGTCTGCGCGACACGAGTCTGCTCCGCATAGGTGGTCTGCTCCTCGTTGATTTCGTCGGGACTGCGTGTGGTCACGCTTGAAGATTGCTGCGACCGCTCGACCTGCCTCTCGGCTTCCTGGATGTCTTTGTGATTTTGAGAAATCTTCAAAACATTCTTGCTGAGGGAGTCCATCTCCCGTCGTTGCTCTTCCGCCTTGCCAAAGGCGAGGTCCTTGTCCTCCAGCCGCCGCACCAGGTCTTCCTTTTGGGTTGTGCAGACATTGAGCTCCGCGGACAGGGTAGGCACCTCCTTTTCGAGACGTCCATAGGTATCATACTGGGCACGCACAGCTTTCAACTGCCTCAAACGAGCAGCGAAATCTGCCTTGTCCGCCTCCAACTCCTGCTTCACTTCATCGCCAAGTGCCTTGGCAATCTTGTTGAAGACCCTCCGCTTTACGTCTTCCTGGTTGTGGAAATCTCGGTCGCAAAGGTTGCACTTGTTGTGCTTTTCGGCAACTGTCTTGACCTTGGTGTAGTAGGTCTTCATCTCTTCAGTCAACTTGAGATCGGACTCGATCTGAGCAAGCTCCGTCTCTACGTGCTTTGTCTGCGCCTCGTAGTTGTCGATAGGGGGGTGCTCAGGGTCGTTCTCGTCCCTGGTGGCACGTAGTGCTTTCAAAACGTCACGTTGGCAGCTCTTCATCTCTGTTAAAAGCTTGGTGTGCCGGTCCCGAGTGGTGGACAGCTTGTACTCGACCTGCTTTAGTTCTTGCTGCGTGGCGTCTTTCTGTTTTCTGGCTTCGGCAACAACACCGTCCTGCTTTCTCAAGGCGCTCTGAAAGTCAGCTTCGACAGTGTCCGGTGTCCAGTTTGCGCCCAGAAGCGCCGACAGCTGCTCAGACCAGGTATTCTTGAGAATATCAAGATCGCGCCGTCGGTCAGTCAGCTGCTTCTTGCGCAGATCAAGCTGTGCACGCTCAGACGCCAGTCTGGTGCATTCAACCAGTTCCCGCCCGAGCTTGGCAGCTTGAGTTTCCAGTTGCCAGATCTCATCCTGGACCTTTTTGATCTGGTCGTCGAGGTCCGCAGATTGTTCGTCGGCCTTTGCTGCCTCAATCCTTGCCTCGACTTCTTTCATTTCTGCACGAAGAGCAGCCTCAGAGCCCTCGTCCACGTCGAGAGAACCAAGTTCGCCTTGAACGGTGGCCGACTCCCTCCCAATGGCCATGATGCGTTGTTTTGCTGAGGCCCGATCCCGGTTCAGTGATTGTTTCCGGCCTTCAAGCTCAGCAATGACAGAGCTCTTCTTGTCCAGTTCTTCAGCATTGCTCTTTTGGAGCCGCTCCAGCTCGCGCTTTTTGTCGTTGAGGGCCTTCTGGATACGTTCGTAAAAAGACTCGATCAGATCACCGTCCAGGTCTCCATCGTAGCCGCGAATCTCGTGGCGCTCGGCCGCCTCGTGAACCATTCGATCTCTTGTGGCCAGTTGGCGCTCATACTTGTCCTTATCGGATTGATGTTTGCCCTGTTCGGCAACTTTGGCCGTATGCCTGTCCCGAGACTGCTTTAGATCCGCTTGGAGCTCCTGTTGCTGTGCCTGCTTCCTATCTCTGTCGGCCACAGTCCTCTCTATTGTCTGCGCATACTCAGCCAGAGTGTTCCGCAGTACATCATCACTATCCGGCAGTTCTTCGATACGGCTCCGTAGTTCCCTGATAGCTTCGCTCTTGTATTCGAGCTTCTCGGTCTTGTTTTGCAGGTCGTTCACAATCTTCAAGAAACTGTTGGCCTGTTCGTGCTTGTCCTTGATTTCCTTGGCCTTGGCTCCCATTTGCTTGAGGATATCGCTGCATTTTGTCTGCGCTTCTTCAATCTCCTGGCTCATTTGTATTATGAGCCTGCCAACCTTGTCGGCTCTCTCCTTGTTGACCTTGTCTTGCGTCTCTTGAATTTTCAATTCTCGCAGCTCTTCTCCCTTTCTCTTGCGGAGCACTTTGAGATTGTCGATTACCTTGGTGTATTTCATGGCCTCGAAGATTTCATCGAACCGCTTCTTCAGAGCCGAGGGTTCGCTCATGGGCCACATGGACTCATCCTGGTGGCAGAAAATGACGGCCTCAAGCACGGCTGGCGAAACACCAAGCTTCTCTGGGACCAACTTGTCCAGCTCCATTACTCTGGTGGAAATGACATGACGGTCCGAGGATTTTCCTCCAGCCTGGCCCCTCAGAAGAAGACTGCCTTCCAGCGTCTTCATCGATCTTGTGGTCTTTTTGACTGTCAATTGCACATTGCGAGTCAAGACATACTGCTCTCCTATGGTTGATCTGAACGACACCTTGACCTGGGCGCGCACATCCTTTTCGCCTTCCAGCTCAGGCTCATGGATAAAGGCACCGCCTTTACTGTTGGGCGGGAGCTCACCCGTGGTGGCATATTTGAGGCATTCGATCACAGTCTAAAACACATCATCAGCATCGACGCCATGTTGTTGGCACGGAATAACGGCAACGCAGAGACCCACCGTCTTGCCCGAACCATTGTACCCGACAATCAGGGTGAGCGGTGTGTTAAAAGCGATGGCCTGCTGCTCATGGGGACTGAATGAGCGCACGCCCAAGATGGACAGCTTCTCGATCCTCGACATGGTGTTTCTCGCGTAGGGATCGAGGGTCGAAACAAGTCAACCTAAATCATACGATGAAGGGTCCCACGCGCTAGAGATCGTTGGCTGATTTTATGCATGCAGCGTGGTAGGTGCCTCTTGGCTTGAAGAAAATATCTTGGGAGGAGGGTTGCGAGAATATGCGATGGAGTCGTGCGTGATGTGGAAGAAGCCTCTTGGATGGGAAAAACCATCCTGTCGTCTGCCGGGCTAGGTAGATGCAAAGCGCGTACCTGTCGCGGTCTTTGGCAGAGGCAAGGGTTGCGAAACACGTCCTCACGTGGGATCTGAGCTCAGTGGAAATCAGGCAGCACTGAGCAACCGGGTAGGCGAGTGCAAGGACAGACCCCGGAGGAGCGGCCTCAGCTCCGTGTACGTTTTTAAAGGTACCGCTGACAAAGAGAGGAGGGGTTGGTATCTCTGAACCCGCATGCGCCGGAGCACCATGGTCCTAGGCTCAAGGCTTCGTTGAAGATCACCATGGACACCCCCCCCCCCCCCCCCCAAAAAAAAAAAAAAAAGAACCCTAGAATAATTCGTAAAACCACAAGTATAGGTTCTGCACGTGGACTTCCCCGAATCCGGTCAGCAAGGACCAACCGTGAATGCCACGGCGCTGACTGGGCGGCCGTATCCCCCAATCAATAATTCGGGCTCTCGGAGGTGCCACAGGGACGCGGGAACCCTTCTCTGTACCGCCTTATACAGGCCAGATGATGTCAGTTTTGCTAGAGCTACACTTACGATTGCGGCCCTGGAAAAGTCCCTGCTCATCACAAACACACTCTCACACACTCTCACACACTCCCGGCCTGCCAGGTGCCTGCGGTGCCTCTTCCGCCACGGGGTCGGCAAGGTTCATGAGGTCTCTGGTCTATATAGAGATACAGACAGCATCTTGGGGCGAGTCTCGCTTCGGCTGCGCTGACGTCTCTTCCCCGAGTCTAGACCGCTACAGATTGGAGGGAATATCTCGCAACCAGTCAGCTCCAGTCAGGGCACCACTGGGCATTCTGTCGGCAGGGTTTAGCGTCGTCACCCAAGTCCCACGTCGAGGACACACCATCCCGGTCACGGTTCTGACATTGAGCGGTGGCAGGCCTGGCAGCTGAAGCTCAGGCCATGTCTGGGGGGGGCAACGGGGGTGCGAGGGGTCCGCTGCGAAAGAGATTCCCATCCTGAATTGAAGGAATCCCATCCTCCCTAAAAAGGGTTCCCGCGGCCGAGTTTTTGCTTTGCTGCTGCCATCATCAAACCAGGTGTTGCCTCTCCTTTTACAGCCAAACCTTGGCTGTCGCCCTTATATCCTACCTATCTTCCCGGCTTATTATTCGTCTCAAATCAACCTACCTCTCGCCAATCTCGCATATACTCATATACTCGGACGGTGGTGTCGTTGATGTTTTTTTGACCCCTCAATACACCCGACAAAAGTTCTACTTGTCTCGCGACCCGGCAATGTGCAGCGCCAGAAGGGGTCCTCATCGATGCGCTGCTGCGTTGCTTTACATTATTTCCTAGTTGGTCAACTCGCAGCCTCCCCCTAAAAAGAGAGCCTACGAACCATACACCCCTGCTGCGACCCAGCAGCAAACCACACCACTCACACCAACTATTCCGTACTATTTACCATGTCTCACGGGCCTCCTCCCTCTCTGTCGGGGAGCAACTATTTTGGCTATGGCACGGGCTCCGTGGGCGGCGTTACTGTGAGCAACTACTATTCTTGACGTTTTCGCAAGCAACAACAGCAAAAACTCTTGTCCTCTAATTTTGTTTCTTTGTCTTTGTTCTCATTTTCGCATGTCACGTACCTATACCTATACCTGTACCTGTACCTACCTATACCTTGTCTTCATCCGATCACCATCACCAAGCTTGAGTTCCTCCAACATATGACGAAAAAATAGTACTCACCCCACACTGACGCCTGTGGCCGATTGGTCGTGCAGATGAGCGGTGATCCGAACGACATGATGTCGCTGCTGGACAGTTCCATGTTTTCCCCATTTGACGACAACATGTCCATGAGCCTCGACGCCCAGCAGCCCTTCAACCCCTCAGGCCCCGCCGCCGTACAGCCCTCCCCGTCAGCAGGCCTGGCGCCGTCGGTCGACCTGCCCTTCTCCCCGGACGACTCGTCATCCACCGCAAACGTAGGCGGCGGCGGAGGAGGAGGAGTCGGGCCCGGCGCCGGCCCCCTCCCCGTCGCGACGTTGGGATCCGGAAGTGGGGGTGGGAGTGGCGGCTCCAACACCACGGCCAACACGGTCACCGAGTTCACCAAGCGCCGCAACTGGCCCGCCAAAGTCGTAGAAGAGCTCCAGGACTTCCTCCACATCCTCGACGCCAACGGCCGCATCAAGCATGTCTCCCCCAGCGTCGAGAAACTCACGGGCCACAAGCCGGCCGACCTCCTCGACGTCTTCCTCAAAGACCTGATCCACCCCGACGACGTCGGCGTCTTCACCTCGGAGCTCCACGAGTCCATCGCCTCGGGCTCCCCGCTCCGATTGTTCTACCGCCTCCGAAAATCCGACAACAAGTACGCCATCTTTGAGTCCGTCGGCCACGCCCACATCGCCGCCGCGAAGTTCGCGCCCAACCCCAACAACCAATCCCCCTTTTGCCAGGCCGTCTTTATGATGTCCCGTCCGTACCCGACCAAGAACGCCGGGTTTTTGGACTCGTTCCTGGAGCACAAGATTGAAAACGAGCGGCTCAAGCGCCGGATAGCGGAGCTCAAGCGGGAGGAGCAGGACGAGGTGGAGGAGTCGCACCGCACGTGGCGGCAGAGTCAGGAAGAAAGATCGGACATCACCCCTTCTGACGCGGACACGTCCACTTTATTTGGTGGTGGGGGCGCCAGGCCGACGGCCACGTCGCCGATGTACACCATGTCTGGGAATGCCGCCGCCTCGACCGACATGCCGCCTCCCAACTTGCCCGCGAGCGCCAGCGCGGCTGCGGCTGCTGCTGCCGCGGCGGCGGCGGTGAGTCTGACGAGGGAGGCGCTGGAGGGGATGACGGGGAGCAACAGGCCGGATTCGATCAGGGACAAGATGGCGCGGTACGAAGGCGGGACGCACGTGGACACGATCGAGATGCTTACCGGGTTGCGGTACCAGCAGGGGGAGAGAAGCAGGGGGATCACGACGGGGAACGCGAGCCCGACGCTGGTGAAGGGGGATGCGGGGATCGCGATACCGGCTGACAGGGACCCGAGGGGGGGAGGGGGGGATAAGAAGAAGAAGTTGAAGGTGACGGAGGAGTATGTTTGTACTGATTGCGGTAGGTATCTTCTCTTTCATTTCTGTCTTTTCTTTTTCTTTCTATCTACGGTGAACTGATTTTTATGACGCTAGGAACGCTTGACTCGCCCGAATGGCGCAAGGGACCCAACGGTCCGAAGACGCTCTGCAACGCCTGCGGTCTGAGGTGGGCGAAGAAGGAGAAGAAGAGGAATAAGGACAATAGCAATAACAGCAATGGGGGGAACGGTAATGGCAACAATGGCGGTGATCATCATCAGATTGAGAATGTTGGTTAAACACACACAAACATCTACCTGCGAACTCGTCGCAATCGGTTATGGTGTTTTGTGCAACCCTTCTCCCCCCCCCCCCCTCCCTCCCTTCGCTTCAGTTTGGTGGGTGAGAAAAAATGAAAAAGCAAGGCAGGATGCATGTAGGGTCTTTCTTTTCCTTTCTTTTCTCTCATCACTTTAGCAGTGTCATTTTCCCTCTTTTATGGGGAGGGATGAATGGATGGAGGGGTTAGTTGGGTGGAGTGGGTTTTTCTTTTCCTTTCATAAATAGAGGGGTTTCTTTTCTCTGGGCGGTAGGAAATATATCATGGAGGGGCGGGGGTTGTGGGAAGGGGAGGCGTGTGATTCAGTACACACACACACTCGATAGTATTCCGGGTATGGAAAGGAGGGAAGGAAGGGAGGGAGGGAGGGGTAAGGGGTTATTCATTCATGGTATATTACGGGGGGGATTTGTTTGTTGCTGTTGTTGTAGTTGGAAGCCGTCTGTCTGTCTTGTTGTGGGGAGGTTGGGAGGCATCATTATCTGGGTGATATATATATATATAAATTAAATGGGGGTCGATGGTGGTTGCTTAGCAAGTCGTTATGTGGTGTCTGTTGCGATTTTATGATTATGAATTCTGGGAGATACTGACCTACCTACCCTCAACAAGGGGTAGGGCGAAAGGAGTGATCCCCTTTTGGCCATGGGCTGCTTGCTGGCAATAAAATTGGCTGTGTGCAAGGCATGGTGTAGCCAGTGTAAGACAAGAAGCAGGAACTCGGCTGGTTTTCTTCTTCCTTTGCATACTCTGGCGTCTCACAGTCTTTGCAGGGAAGGTGTCTGGAACATGGACACGAGGAGGAAAATTTTGCAAGGTTCTTCCTTGCTAGAATGACCTTGTGTGGTTGCAGTTGAATATCGGATGAGATCTGAGTTGGTGTCGATGGAATTCAGCGTGTCGTAGGTAGCATGTTCAGTTAAAATTACATTACAAGGAAATCCCCGAGAATAAGATCTACTACGTATACAGGTTTCCTAGCTACTATTTCCCCTTCCCCCTTCTCAACCTCCCAAGAAACCAATTACAACACATATTGCCCCAAATATCAACAAGAGAAAATAGTCTCGCTCCAATAAGAGCTAGCCCCTGAGGACAACCCACGATACCAGCAAGCCCTATAACATACGCTACTTTAGATACACACACATACACACACACACACACACACACAAGAAAGTTGTCCGTCAAGGACTACAACAGCAAGCGAGCAACGCAGACACGCAATGAAACACGCCCAAAAAAAAAAGCAATGCAACGCTTCTTTTTGTTTCTTCTTCTCCTCTTTCTCATCTTTCTGATTGTTGGTGTTGTTGATGTTATTACAAGGACATATAATGATTTCTCCTTCTTTCTTCGCGCGCTTTTCTCCTTTTGTAGTAAAGTTGTCGTGTGGTGATATAGGTATAAGTGCCCTGTTTTGAATCCTCCCTCTTGTTTGTGTGTGTTCGATCTCTCTCCCTCTCCCTCCGTGTACATGCTTATGCCCCTTCGACCCCTCGAGATGGGTAACTAGTATGATCAAAAGCTATAAACGCGCTTGAGGGCAGAGGGGGGGAAAATGTTCAGTGACAAAAAAGAAAAGGCGCAAGAAAAGAACAAGAAAGCATCTTTAAAAGTGGTAAAGACAACACAACATAAAAAGAAGCGAAAACATCATCCCCGATCTTAAAGAAAATAAACAGCGAGATTAAAATAAAAAAGCTGACAGCGTAGCAAAAACAACCTTTATTCGCCATTCAAGCATAAAACCACCTGCCCTGTGTTCCCTTTGCGTTCCGGAAACCCCCAAGCGCCCAAGAGAATAATGAAAAAACACAAAATTCCATGCCATGCAAAGTCTCGTCGAAATCGCAGAGAGAGAGAGGGGTGGAAAAGGTTTCATGATACAGAAAATTCTCAAGATTCCTGCCCTTGAGCTCAACTCTCGACAACGACAACATACACAACTCCCCGACTACTCCCAGCCGAGTTTGAACTGACACGATTCGCACATCCTTCCATCCGTACATGGGCAACTAGCCTCCATCCTGCCAGCCCCCTAGTTCAGCTCTCCGGCTCTGGCTTTGCCCCTCCTCCGGAAAAAGTCCATAACTTTTCGTGCAGGCCCACTACTTCCAGAGTGGTCATGTCCCCGAGTGTTTCCATCCGAATCCCACGCGTCAACAAACCGCTTGTTCTTCTGCAACACACCACGGCCGGGCCGCCCGCCGCTAGCAACTCTGCGTCCGTCTTGTGCCGTGTCTTGTGGCGAAAGGTGTGGCAACTGTGGTGCCGATCCAGCAGGCCTTCGCATATTGTTGTCGATTGAGTGGTCCGAGCTGCTATTCATCAACGTCTGGCTCTGGTACCCCTCGACATTAGAAGGGCGACGCCCGTCGTATTGATTTGACGAATATTCCTGTCGCTGCTGCTGCTGCTGCTGTTGTTGTTGTTGTTGTTGTTGTTGTTGTTGTTGTTGCGGCCTTGGTTGCTGCTGGCCGTACTGATCGTTAGATCTTGGTGGTCCCTGAAGCTGAGCATACATTCCATCAAGGGTAGAGGCATCCACATGCTCCCGTTCCACATCTTGCTCGACGTATCGACCATACTGATCAACCGTGGGAGGCTCTTGAATCGGCAGGTCTTGCTGTGAGTCCAAAGCAGGCGAAGGCTCATCTTTTGAAATGCCCATCGATTTGAAAGAGAAACCGCCAGGCATAAATGAAAACCGCCTGTTCTGCTTCTCCTGCTGCGAGCCTTGGGATCCGGATATGCTGCCGGATCTCTTGTTACCAAGGCCAATAGAGTACGACCGGCGAGATCGCTTCGAGTCCATAGACACCCTAGGTTCCTCGGCACCTGCGAGCGCATTGTTCATGCTGACGGGCGGGTATCTCTTGTTCTTTTCCTGCTGCTCCTGCTGCCGCTTGCGATTCCTACCTCCAAACAGCGAGCCGCTGCGGCCAAAGAGTTTGCCACTAATCTCACCCATCGTGCTAGATCTCTTGTGTCCCTTTCCTTCCTGGCTGGTGTTGGTGAGGTTCGTACCCGAGCCAGAAGGTGAACCCTCGAACCCCGAGACACGGGCGAATTTGGGAGGAATGGCGCTGATGCTGGGCCGCCCGTACTCCATATTTTGAGCGTCTCCCGTCGATGGCATGCCGTATGAATTCTTGCCCCGGCTAGGTGGTTGCTGAATTTTCCCATGCGCATTTGTATCGGCAAGCTCAGGCGGTGCTGGCTGGCCATACGAGGAACGGTTGCCTGCAGCTCGGGAGCCCAGGGACTGCATGGAACCTCCAGTGTTGGGTCTCGCGTTCGTTGTTGGGGCCGCGGAACCGAAAAAGGCAGTCTCCGAGGTAGCACGGGCATCGCGACCGCCGACGCGCTGTACAGCAGTAGCACCCGAGTTGACGTTGCGGTGGGCGCTTGGGGGTCTCCGCGAAGACACCGGCGGCTTTCCATAAGCATCTTTGGTTCCCGCCGGGTCTCTCGAATTTTGTTTGTCGTTCGGTGAAGAGGACGAACCAGGATTCTGGTCCACCACCTCTACGGCACCCTGGCTGCCAGAGCGAGCGCGTGTGCGGCCACCAGAAGACTGCGTACTTGCAGCCTCTCCTCGTTGCGTCTGAGTGTTCGGGGCAACATATTCCACCTGGACTGTCCGGCGCTTGTTATCGCGTTGCTGCTTGGCGTACGCCGCCGCCTCGGCTTCGGTATCAATGGTGCCCTGCTTTGTCGCCAATCCACCCAATGCAGGAGGAACCGTCGTCTTCTTTGATGCCTCGCGAACAGAGGCGCTGCGTGCCAGGCCTGGCGCATCGTCTTCGGACGGAACTGTAGTGTTTTGAATCTCGCCAGGGGTGGTGGTGCTGGATGTGATGAATTCGACGACATGTGCATACTCGCTGAGCCAACTATGACGGGCGACTTCGAACAAATCGGCGCGCTTGCGGGGGTTGGGCACTAGGATTCGTCGCAGCAAGTCTCGGGCATGAGGTGTGACGTATTCGGGAAACGTGAGCGGGGTGTTGACAATGTACTTGTACAGAAGGTTAATGTTATCACCCTCCGGGTTCGCCGGGTCGTCGTCGAACGGCAGATACCCAGCGAGCATGGCGTACTAGTTTTGGATACCAGTTAGCAAGCGGTCCAACTGATGACTTTTGCTCGGTTGCTTACCAGTATAACACCACAGCTCCAGACGTCCACCTTTCTGCCTGTGTATAGCGAGTCGCTGACAACCAACTCTGGGGCTGCGTAGCATGGACTGCCACAACTAGTCTGCATCAGATCGCCTTTCCTGGATCCGCTGGGCTTGACTCTGTCAAGACCCATCCGCTTGACAAACTCGCGGTCCGTCAAGTTGAGCTCCTCTTCTTCGCTGAGTTCCTCGGCAGGATCAAACGTGTTGGCGAAGCCAAAGTCGGTAATGATGATGTTCCGGTTGCGATCCAGCAGAAGATTCTCCAGCTTCAAATCGCGATGTACGATGCCCTTCTTGTGCAGATAACCCACACCGGACACAAGCTGTGCAAACAATCTACGGGCAGCATTGTCCTTGAGATAGCGGTGGTTCAGAATGTAGTCGAACAACTCTCCGCCGGATGCGTACTCGAGCACAATGCCGTAATGTCGCTCCGACTCTTCCATTTTGTGCAACCTGACAATGTTTGGATGAGTTAATTGCTTCAAAATGGCCACTTCGCGCATGATCTTGGCCATACGAGAAGGATTGCTTCCCAGCTGATCTTTCTTGATCAGCTTGATGGCCACCTGCAGCAGGAAACATGATCAGCACGACAAACCACGGATAACCCGTACGACAATTGCACTCACTTGAACACCACCCTCCTGCTTCCACCCGAGCTTGACCTTTCCAAACTCTCCCTCGCCAATTGTATTACCGAGAATGTATTCGCCAAACTTGGTGTGCTTTTCTCTTTTCGAGTGGTCGTGACGACTCCTTCCACCTCTCCGAGCCTCTTCGCCATTGTGTCCCGCATTCACGATGGGAGGAGGTGCTGCATCGTCGTCAAGCATGGCCGCGGGTTGGTGCGGCTGAGCTTGTGCCAACCGCTCCTTTTCTCGTTCAATGTCCACCTCCGGCTGCGAGATAAGTATGCTATTCAGGATATCGCTGGCCTCTCTCGACGGGGCCTTGGTCGAGTTTGTGGTAACAGGTGGTGAGCGAACAGCTGCAGGTGCCGATGGGTTTGTGCGGGGGTCGTAGGTGCTGTTTGCCTGGCTGCTCGCCCGGCGGTGGTTGCGTGAGTTCTGCATGGCAGCCTCGTCGGCTGAATCCATCCTGCCATTGGTTTCGCGGCTCGAGTCACCGTGTGTCCGGCGAGACGACGAGTCAGTGGATCTTTCCGAGGTTGGAGCGCGTCGGGAGCTGGATGTCCGGGGAGGGACAGCGGCGGCAGGCATGGTTCGCCTTTGATTAGAAGCCGAGAAGTCGGGAGAAGCCGTAGATGCTGCCGCAGACACGGGCACTGGAGCGGGCGAGGCGCCGGCGACGCGAGAGCTCATCGGGGAATTGCGGTCGGCAAGATGGTCGTTGTTGGTGGCACTGGGTCTCCGCGAAGGGTGTCGCGACGAGGAATCAGCGGGCGATGCTCTGGAGGGCTGCTGGCTGTGATTGGCATAGTACTCCTGTGTTGGCGATGGATGGCCAGGCGAGTACTGGCGATTGAGAGGCGATGCAGTATTCAGGGGCGGCGTCTGCAGGGCAGAAACTGACGTCGGATGGTGCGGCGGTGCCTGGAACGCACCAGACATTTTTCTCCTCCGCCAATGCGCAGACAAAGCAGGTGCGAGGTGCAGCAGCAATCCCAATGTTTTGGTTTGGACTGCGTAATAAGCCGAAATGAGGCGGGACGAGCTCAGCTGCACTGGAGCGGGTGGGAGGCAGGAAGCCGCAGTCTGGCGGACCCAGGGGGATGGAGATGCGGAATAGGGTAATGGGGGAGCGATGGGGGGGTGGGAGGGAGTAGGTACTCCGATAGATAGACAGACAGCAGTTTCAAAACGTCGGTCCCTTTGGCTTTTTGCTTTGGCAACAATGCACCGTGGGGTCGCAACAGCCTGTTTGCGTCCTGCTTTCAATGTTGAGACGATGGAGTTGTTGGTGGTCAATGACCAAAAAAAGTCGCGATGATCACGATGCCAGTGAGAATTGTTATCGAGGACCCTGCCGTTTGAGCTGTTGATCGCTCTGGATGAATGCTGCGCTGCGTCAACGTGCAGCAGGAGGTGTGTGTGTGTAGTGGTGGTGGTGGTGGTGGTTGTGGTTGGCGGTGACGCGACTTCTGGGAAGCAAAAAAGCACGGGGACAGGCCTGGTCCTGGGCAGCTTGTTTACTTGCGCCGCAAAAAAGAACAATGCACCCTCACAACAACGGGCCAAGGGGGCAGACTCGGGGCACGCCGAAATTGACTCGGGACCTTTTCCGTGAGCTCCCTGTCCGGGACGGGAGGGAGGAGAGGAGTTGGGATGGATGGAGGGAGGAGGGAGGATGGAGGAGAGGAGGGGTGATGAACGAAGGCTTTGCGCGGGACGCGAAGAGGGAATCTCGAGGCGGTGGGAGATTCCAAGATGGAGGTTCACTTTCTCCCGCGGCTGCGGTGGTGCTTGGTGGTGTTGCTGGTGCCCAGCTTTCTCCCACTCGGGCAACATGTGCCCTCTCCTTGGCTTGATTGGGATTGGATACAGTGGGAATATCACGGCTCCAGTTGGACAAGACGAGCGTTTTAGCGCCAGGGTGAGAGGGTGACGGCCAGTTGAAAGGTGGATACATCTCATGTGCACCAACCCACGCTGGCCTAATGCGTATCATTTTCAATCCCAAGCATGATCCAGAAGCACAACCCTTTAATTCCCTGACACCGACGACAATGGAAAGGAATGAATGCCGTCGGCCCTTGGGGGTTTCGTCTTGTCTTGTCTCAGATCAAAGTCACAAAGCCCTATGGGATGACCACCTCGCGCTTGTTTCTACGTCCAGAAGCGCCTCTCGTTGCTTCTCTCGAGATCACATTGCTTTTTCGTGGAGCTATGGTACAGCCTCTTCACTTACACAGCACTTTATACAAGAGAGGCATTATCTGCCCTGCCTTGACCACGACCTTGACCTTGGCCTGCTGAGATCAGCTCGCCGAATACCGGCTCAAAAACTAGCCTGCGACAGCATCTCGCCGGCCAATTTTTAGCCGGCCGGGGACCTCTTGCGCTTTTCTTCGTCTCTCTAGCCGGGACCACCATTCCACCATTCCCTCCGGCTTGATATACAACTGGACGTGGATGATGGTTCATCTTCTTGACGTACGATGACTTGGGTCTTCGGAAGTCGAGGTTGGCATTTGCCGACTCACCGTCTGATGTCTTGATGGCTAGGTATCCATGATAGAAGTCCAATCTTTGCTCGGATCCTGTCAGGGCAAGCAAGGTTGTTTCGCAGATCATGGTGGTGATGCCAAGGGTGCGTCTTCAAGCACTGTGTGGTACCTGACCCCAAAACAGCCTAGCAACTCCGTACCTGGAGCCAAGCACCCGCAGGGATCAAGGGTCTGCGTTTGCAATGCACGTCTGCCATCGCCCTTCGTCACCTATCTCTCAGCGAGCCCTTTGGTGTAGCTTCGTAGTCAGTCATGACCAGTGATATCAACAGGTATCAGACATCTTCATGCATAAGATTGGATGGTCGTATATGGTTGGATCTTCCCAAGTCCGTTTGTCGTTTGGTTCGTTCCTGTGGCGTGGCGCCATCACCATTCGCCGGCGCGTCTTGAAGAATCGCGCCTTCAGACGAGGGGCATAAACTCTACCAGCAGCATAAAATAACAGATCGCGATGTGAACCGATCGCCACGCACCCGCGCTTCTTAACCCCACGATGCCGCCGCGGGGCATAAACATTCCGGTCGCATTCTAGGTAATTCCCTCTTTCAGCCTCTTGCGACTGACTCTGCTTGAAACACGTCCAGCAACCAAAGGTCGCACCAAGGACACCCGAGCCCCCCGTGCTGATGGGCGTATTTCTCCCAATCCATAGTCGCTACCATAACACAGAGTCCAACGTCAACATCCAAACTTTGGAGAAGGAAGACAAGGCATTGACTCCGGAGATGAGCCGAGTTTCTCTGTTGGAAAGTTCCCTCTTGGTGATGACCTGTTCCAGCCTTGCCGGGCAGATACAACACACACAACACCCACACATAAATATAAAAGTACACGTCAATATCAACCAACAACCCATCCAACCTCGGTTTCGGAAATGCGGCTGACCGCCAACCCTTCCAAAAAAGATAATGCTCCAAAAAAAAAAGAAGAAAAAATCTCTTCAATCTTGTAATGATGACAGACGTTTCAACCAATTCCAGAACCGCAGCCCTATGACTGGTTCAGGATCGCAGTCCTGAACACCAGGCTGACTGAATTATTATACTCCGATATCAACTTGCCCGCCCCAAAACAATGATCCAATTCGCAAATACCTATAAGGTACCTATCTTATCTTCAATTTGTCTACATGTGTATGCGGTACAACTCGACCAAAGTTTCATGTGAAATTCCACAAGTATCACCAGTTCATCCAACCGTCCCGCCGACCAACCTAAACAAGACGGGACGGGACGGACGGCTGGCAAAGGTTGTGATGAACTGACAAACAGAATATTCGGGATTTTTTTTTCTCACACAAAAAAAGTAGATGTTGTTTTGTTGGCAAGGAGCAGCAAAACACACCCGTGAGTTGTGAGCAGTCAACATTACATTTCCTGCCCAACACTTTTGGGCCCTATCACCAAATCTTCCGATGGTGGTGGACTGTCTCACCACCTTGGATCAACCCACTGTATAGACTTCGTGTAGAGAACGATGGAACCCCCGGATCCGCAAACTCGGAACCTTTCTCGGGGCTGTCCGGACGGGCCGAAAGTCTCGGGAGTACCGTTTGGAGACCCAAGAACCACGATATCTTCTGTTGCCCTCACATAGATGGCCCTGATAATAAAGAGAGATGAACAACATCGCGCTACTCAAAGTGATATCAGGTAAAACAGCTACAGCATGCCAAAAAAAGACTTCTCAGATTTCCAACTTTTAGATCCCATGCTGATATGATACACAATTCTCCCCTCCTCTACTATGTCTTACAACTTGATCGTAACATCCCACGCATCCAACCCCACCGCCACCCCCGTCACAGCCCCCATATACGCCACCAAAATCCCCATGGTCGCCAGCCCGCCCGCATGAAGCGTCGGCACCGTCATATTCACCAACCCCGTAAGCAAGTTCCCCAGCAAAAACACCGCCAGCCCATTCCTGTTGTACGCCTTCAGCACCCTGCTCGTGGCCGTCTCATACGCCTCCTTCTCCGCCCTCGCATCCCCCGCGCTGTAAAACTGCGGAAAAAACACCACGTCCACCACCGCAAAAGCAAACAGCAGCCCCTGGTTGAACGCCACAACCCACAGCATGTAAGGCAAGTTTGCCAACCTCCTCGACACGCTCAAACTAGCCCCGTACTTGTAGTCCGTCGCCAAAAAGTACATCCCCATCCAAACCGCCGCCCAGCTCCCCATCTTCGTCAGCAGCACTTTTCCAGAAGCTTTTGAAGAAGAGCCCAAGCTCCTAGGCAGCACCACCATCCCCATGTCCTGCCCGGCCAAGAAGATAGCTAGATACCCCCAAAAACTGCAAATCCCCTCCCTGTTCATAGACAGCAAACTGTCCCTCACCCCAACCAAAATCCATCCTTTGAGCCCCGTCGTCTCCAAAACGGTTTGATACCCTACACTCAACAACACCGCCAACCCCGCATACGAAGGCACCACCGCCAGCGCAGACTGGAAAAGCGCCACAAACGGCGGCAGGAAACCCAGAGTGAAGAAAAAGTTCCAGTGAACTCCATACTCGGTCACGTGCTCCGCGTAGTCCAGCCCTTTGACACTGAGTAATCTGACCACTCCCAAGGCGAGAAGGGGCAAAGAGTGACGGAATGACCTGATCAATCTTGTGCCGAGGGGGGTGGTCTTGCCCTCTGCTCGTTCTTTTAGCAGAGGCCGAGAGGCGACAATGCCGGCAGAGTAGACAAACGACCCGACGCCCATGTCCATGAGGGAAGTCCCCCAGGTCTCGACCTTGGCGAAGCGGCGGGGGAAGAGGCGGAAGTCGACGGCGAGGATGCAGATGCAGGTCACTACTAGCATGTTGCCGCGGTAGTTTGTCAGGAAGGGCTTTGTGGAGAGCACCGAAAGCCCTTGGGGGTTGGTGGTGGTGGAGGATTTCGCATTGCTGGGTCTGGCTGGCTTCTTTTTGGAGGAGGAGGATGGTGGAACGGCGTAGACAAAGGCTGCGGCGGTGAGGAGGAGGATGTTGAGGAGGATTGGGGAGCTCGAGTAGAGGGTTACTGAGAGGAGGAGGGCGCCGACGTTGAGGAGGTAGTCGATTACGAAGCCGAGGGGGGTATAGGGTTTGAAGAAGGATTGGCGGGATTGGAGGACGGACCAGAGGAGGGTTACTACCTGGAAGTTTTGTTGTGTCAGTGGTAGTTGAGGTATCACATCGGACGGTCCCTCATACTGGTGCTACGGCGCAAACTTGAGCTACCTCTATCACTGAACCGCCTGACAAGTTGGACACGAAATCCTCCTTCAGCTGCTTGTAGCTGTGAGCTGTTCTCGCGGCGTTTGCGCCGGTGTCGGGTTCGGACATGGCGGGCAGGCAATATGGTGCGGAAGAGGGGAAAGTAAAAAGACAAAATTGTTTCGCTATGTTTCAGACAACATGACAGGACAGCAGAGAAGTATATGGGATGGGATGAGAAGTGATAATCCAGAATTCATGGACGCCAAATGCCAGCTTGCGGCTTCCAGCCGTCAAGGTGCCACCTGTGTTTAGGGCAGCCAATGGCGAGCTTCAGAGCTCTCCCCAGCCTGCCAAGACCCTGCAAGGGTCCCTGTCCCATTCTGAGACGCCTTCAGCTCTCACATCTGATTGGTCGAATATGAACTTGAAGACATCTGACATTCCCAGTCCAACTTTCGCCTCCAATATATGTATGCCTTCTACCATCACCACCTCGATTCTGACTCTATTATCCATCTTACGCTCTTATTCCAGGATATTTACCACAATATGAGACGCTGCCAACAGTGATGTGCGGCATGATCCGTCAAAGATCTCAAGGCCATGGGCTCGACCTTGGCAGAGAACGAAAGTCGCGAAGATGATGTGTCGGTGGCGTGCTCCGAAGAGTACCCTCCTTTGTTCATGGACCCGTCGCACTGGTTAATGGCGGGCACTAGGCGACCAGGCCCACAAAGCATATTCGACCTATCGCCGACAAGGCCTAGATAGCTACCCGTGGCATCTCATAACTACTAGTTCGATCTGCTTGTCCTGCGTCAGGAGAGAGACCTCCTGCCGCCACCGCCTTTGTTCGCGACACTCAGCCCAGGCATCTTGCGGAGCTTTGTCTCGCATCGCTGCGTCTGACTCAACCACCGTGTACTCATCTAGTATGGCTTTGAGCCCAGGGAACCTTTCAGCCTGGAAGAAAGGGAAGATGAATAAAAGCAGCATGGCCGGGACTGTCTCCGATCACCATGAATCGACCTTGCAAAGTCCGCCCGCCCGTGTATCTAGTACGACACCAGCCAAGAGAACGCTGGATCTCTCTACCTGGGGTGTCATAGCAACATCTGCATCGTTCTTGAACTCTCTGCAACACCAAACCCGCCATCATGGAGACCCAGACGCGACCTCGCTCGCGCCCAGATTTGTCTCCTGTCTATGTCGACCACCGTGAACACCAGGAGTACTGCAAAGGCCCAACATTCACGACCCGTACCGGTGCCCTTTTCTCTACTGCCGCCTTGAGATCAGACCCCCCTCCCAGCGCCATGCTACCAGCTTCTGGCAATGATACAGCGATGAGGCTACACGAGCGAGCCATGATAGATAGCCTAGATCACCGAGGAAGGCACCTCGAGCCTCAGTGCTCCCCTGGCACCGCCCGCTCTCTGTCGCCTATAGTCGAGCACGGGCTAAACTCTCGACAAGCGTCCATGGCAAGCTTGCCTTTGCCCCGAGTGCCAGCTCCTTCCCCGCAGTCACCTTCTTTTCACCATTACCCCAGAAGGCCAACCCTCGCCTCCGAGACGCGATCAATACTGCTGTCAGGAATAGGAGATCAAGGCTCAAGGCATCCCGATGGATTGCCGCGAATCACCAGCAGCAGCTTTGATGACCGTCGTCAGTCTTTGCCGTCATCATTTGTTACACCGGCTCCACGAAGGAACAGTCACCAGCTGCGGCAGGAGCTCCAAGCTTGGGGCCATGTCTTTCTGGGCAACGGATCAGAGGCACAATGCTTCGTTTCGGCTGTTCCCCTCAGGAGATCCAGCGGCAATTCATCGGCAGACGACGAAGATACAGTAATGAAGGACGAAACAACGCCAGTCACACCGGAACCACCCAACCAGCTCACAGTTCGTGTTCGAGTTAGACCATGCGCACTGGACCGAAAACCTTTCCTGTTGACACGGACGTTTGACATGGATATGCTCAGGGCTACCGTCCCGGAACCAAGTCCCGTGCTGGAGGGGCCTAGAAGAATATCGGCCGACGCAAGGGGCCGGAACTTGTTTCCGACTGGCCGTCGTCGATCATCTGTTATCTCGACAGGAGAGGCAAGCCCAGGGCGTGAAAATATATTACAAATTCGAAGTGGAAACACCGTTCCCATCCGTGAGTTTACGCCCCTATCTATAGAAAGACTTCAGACGACGGGTGCCTAACACCATCTTGCCCACAGACAAGCCATATGCCTGTGCGTTCTTTCCCGTCTTGGCCGCGCTTCTGTATTCAAAGCACATCCAGCCGCGCGACATCGTCGATCTCCCGCTGCCTCACCCCGAAGTCTGGGGTCGAACGGTGGCACATGTATATACAGGCCAAGGGGAGCTAACAGAGGCCATCAGCCAGAACATCTTGTACCTGTGTGGTAGGGTTTGAGTTCTTTCTTCCGGCCTTCTCTTTTCGGTTGGAAGAAATATCACCACATGACCTCTGGCGTTATCTCTTACGGAGGGTGGGGGAGGGGAGGGGAGGGCTTTGCGGCTGCATGGCTCGGTTGCTTCTCATGTACATTTTCTCTACATTGTCCAGACAGGTCTTTGTCCGGGCGTAATATCGAACCAAGGCCCGTTCACATCCTTTGATGACACACTTTCCTCAGAGTCGCCTGTCCCGTCTTCTGCCGTGTGGCCAAACCCTCTCCCTCAAGGCGCCTATTTCTTCCATGCTTTGATGTTGGCGGCACGCTTTGATGTGGCTGTATTCGAGAAAAAGCAGTCGGTCCCGAGGCCGGGCTGGTTCTGAAATGGACGGAAAGGCTCTCCAATGGAGCTCACCCCTGGATAGGTATCTGCCACCTCTCCTGGAACCAAAGTCTAGGGCCAGACATATGCCCGCAATCTCGATGGGAGGAACCTGGAAAGATCGAGACTGGTCGGCTGCCGTGGTGTGCCCCCCTTTTTAGAGTTTGCCGGACTCCTGTGCCAACATCAGGTTTGAGTCAATTCTGCATGTTTTGCGCGCCCACGGGACCGAACTCAGGATGGGCCGCGGATGTAAGCTAGGCTCTTGGTGAGCTATGGTGTGCGTCCCATCTCCGCGCAACCTCGCCTCGACCGATATCGACCAGTACGTGTCCGTCAATGGTGGTGCTACCTATGCAGCATGGTGTTTTGTTTTAAGTCCTCGTCAGGAAGGCTCTCCTGGCCGGGCCAAAACCCCTGACCTCATCGTCAATTCCACCCGCACACCACATCCACCAAGTAAGCATCATCAACTGAGAACCAACACAAGGGCGTAAGAAGGATCAGACAACACACCGATGGGCTCATATCGCGAACAACGGCCACCGAGCCTCTCCTCCCACCTCTTCCCTCCACCTATTCCTGCTTTCGAAGTACTCGGCCGTCCAATGGACCCGCAACCAGCACCCCTCATTCACATCAATGGATCGCCTGGTGTAGGGAAGGAGACAGTGGCAGAGCTCTTGACCTTCATCCTTGGAGACGACAAGTCAATGTTAATTGACGTACGCAGTCTCGGCTTTGAAGGAGATACCAATGGCGTCCATGCTCACAAACATCTTCTGACTCCGGAACACCCTTGCTACTTCTCGTTCGACGTCGGTATGGAGATATTCGACGAATCGACGACGGTCAACTGGGAGGGCTCAAACAACGAGAAAAAGGTTGAGCAGGTCGAGGACAAGACGCCAGAGAACCCTTGTATCACCGACAACCTCACTCGGCTGCTGCTGAAGCCTTCCAACGGGGCGCGTGCTGTCGTACTTCCAGCCTTTGCCCCCGACACTGTGGTAGGGCGTGCTTTTGTTAAGACGTTGGAAGAAGCTGCCGAGAACACTGGGAGGCTCTTTATACCGGTGACCCTGGACTGCGCCTCCCCTGAACGCATCCGAAGGACAATGAGCCTGCAGAGACAGTGCAGTTATAAGATACGGCGACCGAGTGAACCGGCACTATCGAAATGTGAGCAAGTGGTTGCGCCGCAGCCGGTTGGGCCCGTCGAAAACGAGGTTTGTAGTCGCCAACTCGCCATATCCAACTACAGCGGGCTCGTCCTGGATATCACATCGGCAAACACGTTCGCGGCAGCCCTCCAAATCGTCGACTATGTCAAACGCTGCCGGGCAGAGAAGGATAAAGACTGGCGCAACTCGAATAGCGCTGCAACAACGCCAACGGGAAGCGTCGGGGGCGAAAAGAACGTGAAGACGTCTGGTTGATAACATGCGATCTCTTTGACTGAGGGGTTAAAGGGTTAAAGCCCGGCGAGAGAGAGCACGTCGGCCTACACAACAGGCCTTCTTCTTGAGTGCTACGTACTTCACCGCCATTCACCGACTCTGATCCTAGCACATGGGTTTTTCTCGAGCTCTGATGGGAGGACTTTAGCCTATCTCATGGCCTAAACGAGCACCCTCCCTCCGTTTACTAGATAGGGTGATAGGTTACCAGTACCGTCTCGCAACGGTATACTATCTCTAGCTATCCGTAACCACCGGGCATACGACCGGTAAGGCCCTCGTGGCCAGCGCCGCGCCGGGTGTGGCGGCACCGTCCCCGTGGCGTCGCACAGCGAGGCAATGGCACACACAACCCGAGAGAGAGAGGGGGGGAGAGCCCCCGTGGCTTCTTGAAGCTTGCTCGCTCGCTGCACGTTGAGCACCTGCCGGGATCGGGAAGATCACGATGGCGGGACTAGCTCTCCAAAAAGGGCCACGATCCAGGGGCACAGTTGCAGATCGCAGCCAATAGCTGTGTGTGGTCTTGCACAAGATGCCTTCTAGGTCTCGGCTTGACCAGCCCCTGAGCGTCTCACGGCAGGAGGCAAGGAGAGAGTCGGCGTCCCGAAAGGATGCTCTTGGCATCGATTCTCGGGCCGGGGTAACCTTCCTGGAGATCGCGCGGGGAGTCCTTTTTCATCAGAGGGCATTAGCACTGCTATCATCAATCTGTCCAAATTTGTCCAGGTCATTCACCGTGGCAAAGATTGGTGTATTGCTGGGCCACTACAATGGAGCGTCTTTGTTGTCTTTGGTACTATTTCGACATGGCTTTCTTCATCCAAGGTGTCGACAATTCACAATCAGCAAAACGTGAAGAGTGTCCCGATTTGGATACGGGGGTTTGTGCTGTTGTTGTTATTGTTGTTGTTGTTGTTGTTATTGTTGTACATACATCACGCTAAAAGTATGGTGCTTGTCCGGGGAAGGGGGAGCCGCATGCCGCCGCGGCAAGCGCTTTTTTTTTTTTTTTTTCTCCACGTTGTACACGTATGTACTCTGCTGTTACCTGCCTCTCTCTCTTTGCTGGCCCGCAGTCACCATCAACCACTCAGATTTCCATACGCCCAGGGTGAAAGAGGGAGCGGAAAAGGATCCCGCTTTCTTCGGCTTTGTACAAAATAAACAACACGTACAATGGCCAACCAGCGCAGCACCACCCTAAAGCGATGACGAGGACGCTTTTTAGCGTGGGGGTTCCCACTGGGACGGTGTCTCCGTTTCGGGGAAGCAGATCTGGATGATCCGGGTGGTTGCAGAAAGCACTTGGCTTGGTTGGTGGGTGTTTGTGGGTAGGGGGAGGGAGGGAGGAGGCGTGTGGGGGTTTCTGGGGAAAGGGTAGAGTTTTTGTCACCGCCACGGAGGCGGATATAGGTAGATTTGACAACGGGTACCTGCCGTGCGGGGGTTGGATTGTTGACAACTCATCACGGTCTGTTCCTTCCCCCTGACTTGTTTGTGTGCTGGGTGTGGAAAGGTAGGGGATATAAGCGGGAGGGTGGTTTTTTTTAATATGTTTGTTGTACAATGTCTTTTGTAGAAAGGGTGTAACATGATTGGGATTTGTTGGTTACCGGGTGGTATATGATTGTGAATGAGGGTGTGTCTCGGTTCCGGGATGGATGAAGGAGGGAAGGGAAGGGGTGTGGGGGGGTGTAGCGTGGTATGCGAGACGGGATGTTGGGGATGGTAATGTGTTGAGTTGTTGCCTCTTTTGGAGATAATGAAGTTTGAGGGTGGTTGTTGATGACGGTGTATAAGGATGGATGTCTACTGTCTAGGTGTTGGTGTAATGAAGAGGCTTGAATAGAAATCCTACAACCTTGGGACTGTGGCTTCACCGGTCACGCAAGCCATGCCTCACCGAGATGTGCATAATCTATCCTTCCATATGCTCGCCTGTTGCAGATGATGTAGCTTTAACAATTCGACAGCAATGAGATGTCGTTTCTGCGGGCTGCCGAGAGTTGCCATGTCGTGACACCTCACCTCACCTCATCACTTTTCCACCTTGGACCATCTCACCGGTTTTGACTTTGCCGGCTTGCCGTGGTTTCCTCCCCCTTTTTTGTCTCCTTGCTTCCCGTCCCCGATAACTTGCCTTTGTTCCAATTGCTCAATCTCGGTCCGTATCACCTGGCCGAGATATCAATTAGGTTCTTCAATGATAGGCATCTACTTAACAGCCGCGCGGCCTCTGAGGGTCATCTCTTAGGGATCTCAATTGATGGACGGCAAGCAACACTTCCAATTGCAGTAACAAGTCCCGTTGTTTTAACCGGCTCAATTTGCAAGAAATACTCTGTAGTATTACCCGCTTGTCTTTCGTGCCTTTCAACAGTAGAGCAGCGAAAGCCCTCTTGGTTCTAGAAAGAGTATTTGTAATTCTTTTTCACGCCAGGCCTACCTAACCCAGCTTTTCCCCCACAGTTCTTTTGAGCAAAGTCATCAGAGTAAAGTGACTGTACACTTCGGCCCAGTAAATAGTATGTTGTACAACCAGTGAGCAGTGTTGCAACCTCTGATACCTGTCTTGACCGACCTCTCATGAAAGAGGGGGAAAAAAAGGAGCTATGAAAGATCTGTACATAACCCACTGCTCTGATGAGCAAAATGAAATCCGTTCTTGTCGGCAGGTGCTGGTCCCAACACTACCTTACCTTACCTGCTACCCTCGCGCTTTCTTTACATATCTCAGTTAGGTACACAAACAAACATTTTCACCTTCAAACAGGGGCTTACACAGGTGGGTGGGTGTTCGCCTTGTGCGCTTTCCAAGTCAATGTCCGACAATGACACAGTTGATGTGCCAACCTGAGCAGCCCTGGTGTTTGTTTGTCTGGTAACAAGCTCTCACTGAAAAAGTCTAATGCTCTCGGCCCGCCTCAATCGTGAGAGAATTCCAAGAAAAAAAAAGGGGGTTATCATCCTGACAGACACAGACAAGACTCCCGTCAAACAAAAATGACGTCTCAACAAACATCATCAAGTAAAATATCCAAGATAGATGATTAGCCCCTCCCCCCCCCGCCTTTCCCCAAAAGCCCCAATTGCAAGATTGCCCACACACCCCCTCCCATGTCCTAAATCTCACTTTCTTCCCACTACTCAAACCCCAATCGAATAATATAAAATG